ACCATGGGACCTGTAAAGGGCCCGAAACGTCGGTTTGTTTGAAAAAACAAATATACGCGATTTAAATCTGGAAAAACAGTTTCATTTCCTATAATTATTATTATTAATAAGACGTGTGCCACACAACCACAACTTCTTCACAAACGTGTGTCTTGTGTTGGATACAAGCAACCGGCAAAACCGAAGTCGTGGTGGTTTAAAAATTAAATTAGTTATCCAGAAATAGTTATCCAGAAAGTTGCCAACCATAGTTAAAAAAGGTTACCTATCAGTAGTGCGAAATTGCGAAATGACATTTTCTATAAATAACGTTTATTCGAATTTTCATAACCTCGTAAGTAATTTTGAGAGGAAAATGTTTTTTCTTTTAAACCTAACTTAACCTAACCTAACCGAAACTAATCGTGTCTTTGCTATAAACATCAACAGATATTGAAAGAACAACGGTTTCATTATAATTCGGTTTTCGGTGTAATGAAAATTCGATCAAACGTTATTTCGGAGAAAAATTCGAGTTTGTGATAGGTTACCGTTAAAAAAATAACTTGACCTGTGGCTCATGCGGTAAGAGCAACTACGGTGCAGCGTGATAGCAGGTCCAAGTCCCACCCGAGTCGAAAAAAATGTTCTATGTGATCGATCTTTGTATTAATAATCATAACAAAACTAGTGTTCTTTCACAAAAAAAAAAACTCGATAATACATCTTTAACTTGTATTTATATTTGGGTAATTTTCAAGTTAGTTTTCTCTACCTAATTTCCGTGGCAATTTTTATTATTTAAATATTGTAGAACATAGTTTTTATTTAATATACGAGTGTAGTCCTGAAATATTATTGAATACATCACGATTATTTACTCGAATACTTAACCGAATGTAGGTAGAGAAAACAAACCTGAAAATTACCCATTTTCGAAATTTACATATTTGTAAGTTTTTTGTATAATTGTTTATCCTCAATTTTATACAAAAGATCAAACACGACGCTTGAGATGAGATTTATAAATAATTTAAAAAAGGATCAAAATTAAAATCACACAGCAGTAGTCAGAGTTCAATGGCAATAAAAATTTAAAATAAGCTAAACAATTAAAAAATGAACAATGCGATTAAAAAATTAATAAAGTTTTATAGCAATTTCTGCTAAATAAATATGTTACTCATTAGAAGAATATTATAATGATTCATTCGTCTATATTATAATATTAATAGTTAGATTAAAGAAGTACATTAGATTAAAACTTAGATCCGTCTCTGTCTTCAGACACTGCTACGCCCTTCAGAGTTTTTATTATGTTTGATGTACAGTCAACAACACATCATCTATACGCTTTTTTTCGAATGTCGCCTCTAGGGCGACGGAACCAAATACGTCAATGTGTAGCTTGATATGTTGCCGTCCGTATGTAGAACTATTGAGAATACAAATACCAATAAAATAGCAACTACGCAATAAACCTTAACAGACGCTATATGCGTAAACGTGTTCGCTACAGCCAAGTAATGTGACTGGGCACGTCATGTATACTTATGTGGACAAATGACCATTCGTCCCCAGGTTGACCAACAAGCATTCCAATACCTACAAATAAATACCTTATATTATTACGCGTCATGTGTGTTGGAGTTAAATTCTTTTTACAGGACAGCGTTTATAGGTATAGCGTCACCGTGTTCATTGGTATCATTTAAAACGAAGACCAAAGCCAAGCTAATAGTTTTACGGTTCATTATCAACTCCGCCAGTTAATGTGAAGTTCAACTTGAACTCCAAAGTCCTAACTCTTTAAAATGGCAACATATACATGATGTTAAATTAGACTTTTAAATGAATTAATTTAAGTATTGTTTAGTATTACAATAATATTACATTCGCTATAACTTAAGTGCATTAAAAACTTCTGCGTAATCCATAAATACTAAAAATGCGTCAAAAATGTCATGGACACTAAAGTTTCAAATTAACGCAATTAATGGACATACATAATTAAAGCAGACATTATATCCGTTTAGTTGTCACTAAATTCGCCAAGCAAGCAATATTAATGCTTAATCACCTACACATAATGACTAAACTATCATAATACGTACCTTAACAGCGTCTATTGTGCGGATTAATATATATTCTACTTTGTACCTACACCTAAAAAAATACAATTTTAAAATGCGGGATGGTGCGATGTACCACCCTCTAGACAATATCTTACTGGTTTATGTCTATATCGGTGGTTTTATCGCCAAAGGTGGGCTCATCTTTCAAGAAAGTTCCGGAGCGCTCCATCATGGGGATTTCTGGAGGCTTGTCGTTCTCTTCGCGCCTGCTAACGTGGTTCGCGGGCCGCTTGCTTTGTTTCGTATTATATTTGTTAACTGGCGACTCTTTCACCATTTTTGGAACCATTTTCGCCGAACTGGACTTCGTAGCGTTCATTAATGAACCGGGCAACTTCCTTTCTGTGGTTTTCTGTCTACTTATGTTGCTCGTGCTGCTGCTGGTGCTCTTAGTAGCCTGTGGACATCGCCTCTGTGTCTCGGACTTAGATTCCCATTTGTTCCCCGGGTTCATATACACTGGGATCTTCGTTTTTAATTTGTTATTGCCTTGAACCGCAACTGGATACTTTGAAGACTTTACTGCTGCAAAAGAAACAAAAATACTTAGTTGACAAATGGAATTTAACCTACTTTTATTTTCGGTCTAAATCTCGTATATTTGTCTTTTCTAACAACCAAGAAATATTAAACATAACTGGTGACTTTACTTACTCAGCCAGCCGTGAAAATGGGACCTGTAAAGGTCCCAAAACGTTGGTTGGTTTGAAAAAATAAATATACGCAATTTAGTTCCGCAAAAATAGTTTCATTTGCAATGAGTAGAAATTCGCGAAGAGTTGGCTGGCAAGTACAATTTGATAATAATGGAAGTAAAATAATTAAAAAATAAAATTAATTTGCTACTCGGCTAATAAAGTTAATTTGCACGACTTAACCTTCACTGGGATCGCGGAGGAGCAAATTAATTTAGTTTCATTTTATTAACATGGGAGTTCTGCAAAGTAACGTCTGAATATATTAGCATTGAACCGCTGTCTTGATGCTACTTTCCTAATATAGAAGAATCTATTGTAAACACGCATTGCAAACAATGACGCCAAGCGATACCTTCGCCACCGTTTTAGCGCCCGAGAGTAACTTGTAAGTGTACACAGATGTACACAATAAGAGTAATAAATAACTTCTAAACACGCCTGTAAATTCGTCAACTACAGCAAAATGTGTAATAATGTTCAAATTATATTACGAGAAAACATGGTGTATTACCCACACTGTACGCGACATCGACATTGTTTAGATATTTATTGATTGAATATCATGTTTTTCTAAAACGATATCATATAAGTATTTTTGTGAAAGTATTCCACTAGTAAATTTGTTTGAAAACCATTCTGCCAAATCATTACGGCGATAACTGCGCTCCGATTGGCCAGCCCGAATTCGAAACGATTGACGGTTCTCGTCGATTGTTTCACTTCAAATCGACCAGTTTAACTTGAGCTTTGCTAGAATGGCCGAAAATTGAAAAATTACATATGTAATATTTAATTACCGATGAATTGTGATTACATTTGTTTTGTATATTTCGCGGATTTCCCACACCACCGAGCGGAACAGCCCGCCATTGTATTTATTACAATAAATACAGAATATTTTTGGAATATAAGGAGACCTACACACAGGCCAGTTGTTAGCACTGTACTATTTCAGCTTTCTAATTTGTGATTTCAGCGTAAACGAGAGTTGATATTTAAAAGTGATATAAAGCCCATTTGCCTGATGAGTTGCCAGGGATGGATGGCCCTTATATCGTCTCTATTTCTGGTTATATACTCGATGGTAAATGGTGAAGTACTTACATTCTACAGATCCTTTAGTTGTGTGCTTTGTCTTAGTGTATGTAGCATACTTGTTGCTATTCTGCGACTCGCTGAGAGAGTCAGTAGATGGCTCGGCAGTGCGCGGGCGCGATGAGGTTGCCAGGCTGTCTTGTGACATGGTCTGCGCTTGCGCCTCGCTCGTCTGCCGGCCCTTAACGCGACTCGTCCGCATGTTCCGAGCCTGTATAGGGCTCGAATTTCTTGATGATTCACTGGAGGAAATTCTCGGAGCAAGTTTTCTTGCAGATATTTTTTTATCATTCTCTTTAGACATCCTCGGCTCTAGGTATCGAGGTTTAGTATTTTCATAAGGCAGCACACGCGTCGTCGAGGCTTTGCTAACCATACGCTCTTGAGATTGAGTATTTTTAGACAAATTGTATTTCGCTCTTTCTTCTTGAGCTTTAGTCGTTCTGATTTTTGGGGGCATTCCACGAGATTTTCGGTCTCGCAGATCGTTGTTACTTTTTAACATTTCTATGGGCGCATTGGGGGCGGTGGGTCTCGACGCATACGGAACGAACGATGCTCGAACATGATCTATGTCTATGCTGCGTGTACCCAACGTGCTGTTGGGTTTATTGTTTTGGACATTAAAAGGACTTCGATTTTTTCTATTCTGCAAAGGTGAGGGTGAAAAAGGAAGAACTTGACCGCCGTATATTATGCACCCAAGCTCTCGCAGCCTTTTTCGGAGATCCGCAGGCAAATCTTTAAAAGCCTGAGTTGTCACTACACGAGGCGCCACCCTGACAAGTGCGCCTTCACACTGCAAGCGCCAGCCACACAAGTGACTATACAACAAATGCTGGTCGTGGCTGGCTTTGGTTTGATTTTGAGCTGTAGTAATCACATCCGGTTTGGAAAAATGCTGGTGACGTATTTCATGTATCAAAGCAGAAAGAAAAGCGTAGGCACGGCAAGTTTCTTCTGGCGGTGCCCACTCGATAGCCGCGGCTAGGCAGTCGTCCAGCGCCTGCTCGGCGGGAAGGGGCGGATCGGGCGGCAACGTAGCAATGTCCCGCAAGACGGCCTCAAGTCGTGGCGCCACGAAGTGCGCAGCCGCGTTTACAAGGCGCCGACACATACGCGCTACTGTCTCAGCCCACCGACTGTTTTGGAGCATAGACACTGTAAAGAAAAATTAAGGCACTGCATCATTGTTCTGGTGTCACATCTTTTACAATTCATGGGCTAGTGGAACTTAATTTTCTTTATAATTTACCATGTTATCGCTGTCAGGAATGAATAGATCTCAGACTAGAGTCGATTGGTACACATGGCCTGAATCTTTATAATTATTAACGTAATTTTTGGTTATAATTGTCTGCTAATAAATACTCTAATTATTATGAACTTAATATCTGACTGTCTAATGTTCTATCTACCGACCCGAGAAATGTGGAATACCCGGGGAGATTACAGGCTCCCTGGTAAGATTGGGGTACGGCGGCGGCGGGCGTCCAATCCCAGCCATCCGCCAGTGACACGTCTTCAAGGGCGTCTCTGACGGACCCGGTCTTGGACATGGACTTGGGGTTTGTGGTGAGCTGCAGAGACGGACACGTTTGTCTGCTCCGGCAGTGTGTGCCCGGTGCGTTTGTCTCATGCGCGTCTTAGTAGCGGTCTTGACGATAGCCTAAAGCGAGAAGACGCACGCACGAGACACGTGAGTTGCCCTTTAAGTAGTAATCTATATCCGGACATTGTCGTAGAACACTGCGACACACATCTCCGGTACTAACCCGGAAAGCTAGTAGAGGATGAGAGCTAGACATTCTCCGGTCCCTCCAGGCGCGTAAGTTTCTGGAAACTGGAGAGACGCCTCGGCGTCGGCATGTGAGCGTGATTTATAGCTCCGCCACCGAGAGATTTAGACTTAAGAGTCAAAGGCGTAGCGGTGCCAACCGTTACTTGTGTAATGCGCAACGGGAAGTGAGCGTGCCTAAAGCTCCAATATCTGCCTAGAAAATAGGGAGAGTACTGTACGTGCAGCCGGGGCGACTCACCCGAGGCACTAGCCTCTTGAGAAACGAATGAAGTAAGTGACAACGGTCTGCGACAAGTGGCTGATCTGGGGTCAGCACCTGGAGACAGCATCGGATAAGGTTCCTGTGCACGCATAGGTTATAGTGCCTTCTCGTATACCCTAAGGGTCGGTAGGGAGGGTCACTATAATCAAAGCTAATGTAGAAGGGTACGGGGCTGTTCAAAGTTCTAAAATAAATAAAATGTTACAAACCTGCGAGGCCACACCCGTAAACAGTGTCGACTACATTTTCCAAGGTCAAATTAACAACGAGTTGTTGGTAGCATTTATCAATAAGTTCTTTAGGCAGCGTCGCAAACGCCTTTGTAGCCCACACTTTTGAAAAGTACTTGGTTATCCATTTTAAGCACTTCCGATATAAATCGTCTAGGCCGTAAACAGAAGAAAGAGGGAAGCATTCCAAAACTCCAGCAATACAAACAGGGCATGGCTGAAAGTAATTGTAAACATTGAACTGTGCTGTTTCATGGAATGAAAGATTTATTGCCTTGAAAAAATTGACGAATTTATACAAATTTACAAAAAAAAATCTATATTTGAATAACAGATATTAACAATTTACCCTGTGAAAATGGTGACAGTATTTGGCTTTGAGTGTGAACATAATGGCTTCTTTTAATCCCTCTAAGCCTAGCATATCAGCTATGGTTGCCAACTCCACGATGCTGATGGAATCCGGAATGGTGGACACTCCTGAATATATATGACACAGTGCAAAATGCACTACATTGAACGAGAATCTGTAAAAGTAAAAAAGTGTAGTCCTCTCATCATGATCTCGCGTACAGAGAATATCTCACTTTGAGATATTTGTAAAAGGCGATGCACAGGTTGCAAGAGTATATTTAAAAATTGTTAACGGATTGTTTGTTAGAATCGTGCAACTTTACTTACGGGGGTAATACAATAACATTCCCTGCGCTCTCTACCCAGCCTCCGCTTAATATTCCCGCGAAGTATTGGCATCTGCAAGTTTTCAATAAAACTCAATGTCTGATTATATTACTATTGTGTCGTATAAATAATATTGGACGTTATTAATTTTAGACAACTGGTTGACGTCTTTACCATCTCAGTCAGCCGTGACCATGGGACCTGTAAAGGGCCCGAAACGTGGGTTTGTTTGGAAAAAACAAATATACACACGATTTAGATACGAAAAAATAGTTTCATTTCCTATTTATAACAAAGGCGAAAACCTAAGAACTCGATAGAGCCTTTTATTTCAACAAGAATAAAAACAGTAAGTCATCAAAATGTGCTCTAGACTACTTAGCACCGTCGTAGAAAGTGTGTTTATGGTCGAAATTTAAGTATCTTCCGACTATCAACTTATAGTGTGCCTTAACACAGGAGCAGTAACTAACTATACATACTGCAGTAATAGTAAGTAAATCTCATTCATACTATGCAGTTAATAACTTAATTGAAGTATTTATATCTACTTTGTTTGTTTTAAACAATTATTAAATATTTCAAAACATTGAGAGCTTAATATAATAGCAGTACAAGGGCGTTAAGGGGCAAATGGGGGTTTTAGTCGCGTACGCAAGACGCCCGACACGACCTTTGGTTAGTGCTCTGCCGTGCTAATCATGATCTAGGAACAAATTATAATTTAGTTTTTATAAAAAAATATCTATTTGGAGTTTTCATCGTAACAAATAAATTACAGGAACACGTCACAACGCAGAAATATTATTAAGGCACATTTTTATATTATGCAAATAAAAGATTGTAACCTTTGATTGTAAGATTGTATTTTGTATTAATTCAGGGGATTAAGGAGGGTAAAATTCTTAATAGTTTTCATTTAATTTTGTTTGCGCCATCTCTGAGTTACTTTATTATTTATTTTGGGTGCGTTCGTAAACTGTTTGGGATTTACATTAATACATATGGTTGAATTTAAATATTAGGGGTTAAAGTATGAAATTGCCGTTTTATTGCAATAGGTTCTTTGAATTTTCATAGAATCTTCATGGTTTGAGGTTTTCGAATGAACCTTTTTTCAAATGGTTTCTGTCATTTTTTTTTTTTTAAATTTGAAACATTTGAATATCGACTTTCAATTGTTTTTGTTATTCAATTTAGACAAGAAAGATGGATACTGCGAAAATTCGAGTGATTTTTGAATACGAGTTCCGACGCGGAACTAACGCGGCAGAAACAGCCCGCAATATCAATGCTGCGTTTGGAGAGGGGTCTACTAATGAACGCACCGTGCGATTTTGGTTTAAACGCTTTCGTGATGGAAATTTCGACTTAAAGAACGAGCCACGAGGAAGACCGCCCACACAGGTGAATAACGATGAATTAAGAGAGATAGTGGAAGCCGATCCTAGTCAAACTACCCAGGAATTAGCGGCATGGTTTAACGTTACCTTACCCACAATATTGACTCACTTGCGTCAAATCAATAAAATAAAAAAATACGAAAAATGGGTGCCTCATGATTTGACTGATCTGCAGAAAGAAACGCGTGTTGAAACTTGTGTTGCCTTGTTGAACCGGTACAGAAATGAAGGAATATTGGATCGAATTGTAACATGTGATGAAAAGTGGATTCTTTATGATAACCGGAAAAGAAAAATGCAATGGCTGACCCCAGGTCAAATGCCACAACAGTGTCCTAAAGCAAAACTTACCAATAAAAAGGTAATGGTAACTGTTTGGTGGTCTCAGCATGGTGTTATTCACTATAGTTTTCTCCGATCTGGTCAAGCAATAACGGCAGATGTCTATTGTGCCGAACTCCGAACCATGTTGACAAAACTAGCAGTAAAACAGCCCCGACTCATGAATCGATCTTCACCATTATTGCTCCACGACAACGCGAGACCTCACACAGCACGAGAAACCATTTTGACCCTTCAGGAACTGCAGTTAGAAACCATTCGTCATCCTCCGTATTCACCAGACTTTGCTCCAACGGACTACCATTTTTTTCGTGATTTGGACAATTATCTACGTGACAAGAAGTTTTCTTCCCAGGAGGCAGTACAAAATGCTTTCACACAGTTTGTGCAGTCTAGATCGTCGGAGTTCTATCGCAAAGGCATTAATAAACTTCCCATTAGATGGCAGCAATGTATAGATAATAATGGCAACTATTTTGATTAAATAAATTTGTTAAAAATTTTAAAAATAAACAATTTAGATTTTCAGTACAAATCGGCAATTTCATACTTTAACCCCTATTATTTTCATCATACAAACAATGCGAAAAAGGCCTTAGCAGGTCAATTGTCTTAGACAGTCAAAAGTTTCGATAAATGTAAGAAATGTAAGCATCGGCAACTCACATCGGTAAGAATTAATTCATGTATACCACTAATTTATATACATACCAATACATGTGAACACATAGGTCTAAAGTTTATTATCTGTGTTCACACACATAGGCAACAATGCTACGTGTTTACCAGCTTTATGCAATATTCAATCAGAGGCAGTTGACCAGTGGCTATCAAAAACCTGATAGCATTAACGGGGCGTACGTACGTAGCGTAAAGGAAGGTTCAGTTCAGTCTCATAGGTCAGTGTCATAGGTGTGAAGGAGATCTTTAAATGAGAGTTTTTCCTCTGGCATAAAAGGGTCGGCCCGGAGCCCAGATACGGCCGTAACCAGGAATTGTGTGACTTTAATATAAAAAACGCTGCTGTATCAAAATAAAGAAGTTGTTATTTACCTTGATGACAGAATACATTTATGTGCTTTGATCCGTCTCCCGGAAACCTCAACTATGACATCTGGGGCTATTTCTTCAAGAAACATTCTCAGCAGATCCTGGCCTAATCTCGACTGACAGTTGCCAATCAGACTGGACGTTTGACTTGTATCCTCTGTAGTACTGTTCTCTGAAATAAGCAATTTTGTAAAAACCTCACGCATCATAGAAGTACACAAGTTTATTCGGAACAAAACATAATACTAACCAATTACAGATCGACACATACTACTTTGCACACTGCTGACTTCGGACATATCAGAAATTTGCTCTTCTATTTCTCCTGGACTTGGAGAGACTCCCATTCTCATTGGGGAACGCGTTCTGTTTGACATTATGCCAGGCATACTGCGGCTGAATTCGTTTTTCAGATGAGGAAATAGTCTATTTAAACTTAAAGCATTTTCTGAGTGGAAAGAACTAATGACTTCAATGGACCTAGGAGCACTAGCGTTATTTTGATCACTCCAGTTATTTTCTGGTATTGATCTTGTCATTCTTACATCCAATACTTTGTGTTCATGTACTGTCATAGAAGTATTAGGTTTCTGGATGGGCTTATCCAAATCTGAGAGTTTAACAAAAACATCATCGCTTTGAGAATCATTGCTTTTAGGATTTGACACTGTGTTTTGTTGATTTGAATTGACTGCAACGATTGTAGGTTGATCTACACCCTTGACACTGAAGCCCTTTGGGTCAGGTATGCTTTGTTGTTTTGAAGAACATTCTTGGGGAATTCTAATAATTTCCGATATTGATACATTTGGATCGTTACATAACGACTCATACTTTTCAAAAATACAGGTGGACTCATTCGTTTTGCTTATCATTGGAAACTGTGCAGGAGTTCCTTCGGTAGACGAATCTCTACCTTTATTTTGATTTGTTTTTGAAATACTTTTGTTTTCAACAATGATACTTTTTCTGACATTTAGTGATGAGCTAAGCCTGGCGGGCATTTCTTTTACTGGGCATTTGTCACCAAGATCGATGTACATGGAAAAAATGTTCTTCTTTTCATTTGTATTTTCAGAAACATTATTTTTTTTAGGCGGCATTGAATCTGGCAAACTTGATAAATCAATGTAAAACTTATGACTGGACCTTTCACTGCTGTCGGAATCAATGGAGCTTCTGCTTTTATTGCAATTATCATTGCTACTGTGTTTGGACTCATTTATCAAATTGTAACATGTCCTGTCGCCGGGTCTAGTAACACTTGAAGTATTTTTATCTCCATCTGATTTCGGATGGCGCGACATATCTACAACCCATGCGGACACATTCGACGGCCGAGGACTTTTTTTGTGGCCAGTATCTTCTGTTTCTGGTATGTAAGCACCTGACACGATTGGTATATTTTCTATTTTTCGGCGTGTTACAGGACTTCCGCTATAACTGCCACTTTGTGGCAAGTGGTCCTCAATAGACGCGCCTCCGGATACTATAGGCGACGACTCATTGTATTTTAACATATTTTTCTTAACGTTTACATGATTTTCATGCCCAACTACAGTTGCGTCACTTTCACTTTCTTCAGACTCGTATTGCCTCAAAGTAGATGACTTTATGGACATTATAGAATTATGTGGCGTGTTAGACACGAACACTGTATTTGAAGAGAGCGATACTTCTTTATCAATTGTGGGTTCTGAATGTTCATAAGATTTCGCAATCTTATTTTCTTCTTCATTGCGATCTGCTGTTTCAAAGGCATTCGTGCATAAAGAATCCTCAGTAATTGGGGTCATTTCAAAAATAGTAGGCGATAAATCTTTTTGCATTGAATCTGGATCTTTTTGATCGCCTTGTTCTAACGAATCTTCATTGTCGTTACTTTCTGACCAATCGTTAGGACTTGCATCTAACTTAGCAGTAGAACAAGGAACAGGTTCACTAGGCGCCGGTAATGCATCTGACACGATATTCCTATATGTTGTTTCCTTTGATTCTACTTGTATTTTAATTGTATCATTATCTTCATCAACTAAACTTGCTGCATCAATAAAGCAGGACGTTGACTTAAAAGGCGACTTTTTAACTAAACTTGGACTAAAAGTCTCATCATAATTTGAAGATTGACTCTTGCGATTTCCAACATCTTTTACACCAGAATGCTGGCGTTCACTACTGATGAATTTGTCACAAATTTGCTTGTCTGCCTGTTTTGGAGGAAAAACCGATTCCCAGGAACCAGTTTCAGATGACAGTGAAGATGATTCTAATATAACTATTTCTTCGTTCTGTCGCTGTTTTTCTTCCTTGGAAGATTCATAGCTCGTGGCATCTTTAGACTGTGGTGACGGATTAGGAAATATTCCATTGACGTCGGAGGAGCCACTAAGGGTGGATGTGGCAATCCTTTTAAGCCTTTGATAATTCTTATCTGCTAAAGAACTTGACATAGAATCATTGATATCATCGGTTGTCAAATCGTGTAATGTACTCTCTGTCAAGGACACATCTGTTAATGTAACGTCTTTGTGGCTGCCCATGCTCTCTAATAGCCCAGTGTTCTCCAATCCCGAATCAGATGATGTAACATTATTTTCCATTCTGGTAATGTTATCACCAACATTTAAGTGTGACGTGCACGCCGTACTTACGCCTGGCGAATAGTTGGGCGCTGCAGACAAGTAATCCGAGGAGGAACTGGGGTCGTCGGCTACTAAGCTATCTGGTGATAGTGCAGAAGAAACCTCCGCTTCTTTATCTACCACTCCGTCTTGAGAACCAGCTATGTATCGATTTGAACTCACAGTTGATTCAAGGTTTGATTTACTATAAAGTTTTTGACTAGCAAGACCGTTTACTTTTTGTTCATCAGTTGCCGAAGATTGATCCAGATTATTTTCCTTGGGATGCTGACTGTTATCTAAAATATCACAACTTATGGAATGTTTCACTGTTTTGGATGAATGACTAGAAGTAAGAGAGAGAGATGTAGGTTTATTACGTTGAGTTTTTATAATAGACTGGAAGGCATTGGAGAGAGCATCCTGTTCAATCAATTCCTTTTCTAATAAGTTACTGTCTATGGGCACCAGAGCATAGTACTCCTTAGTCAAATCTGTGCTCGGACTGGAGCTTATAGGTTTCTCAAAACCTGTTTCAACATTATATGGACTTATGCACTTCGGGGTCAGAAATACATCTGATTCATCTCCTCGCTCTTCTTTCGTTTTTACATTGGTGGTGGGATTTGACTGGACAACGTTTAAGTTTTCGTCTAGGTAGGTAATTATGTCTTCTTCTTGATTTTTGATGTTGCATTCAGTGTAGGCGTCACTGAAAAATGAAGGCAGAAATAAATGTGAATAATAATGATAACTAAGAACTTAAACCATAAACTTACATTAATGTTGAGTGTTAAGATGTTAATATGTTAGCAATTCTTACCTTATAAAAGAATAAATTTCATCAAAAGTATTTTTGCCAATATTCACATGCAAAATCGCTTGAAGCTTATGATAAAATTTATTGGTGCGTGCTTTTAATATGCAAGAATGGGTTAATATTTTTAACTTTCCACAAACTAGTTCAAGATCAGAGTATATGGATTCATCAAATATTCTGCAACAAATATCACAAACACATAATACATTTGATGATTAAGATACTACTCTTACCTATATGAAAACATTCACAAACAAATAAAGCATAATAAAAGCAAAATATGTTTGTTTTGGACATGTCATGGTAGTGTTAAAAACAATATGACAAATGGCAATAAAATAGATACTTATACGAATTACTGCATTTGTTTTTGGCTTTTGTATATATCTAATAAAATATTTAAATTTTACATAAATATTTGCCAAACTTATGCACCGCCCACAAATAAGGGTTTTCAAAACACCAAAGAATGGCTCAAAGAGAGATCAAACGGCTAATTCAAGAGCACTACATGAGAAACTGCAAGGGTACTTTACCATAATTGGGTTCATGTGAATTTGGTTAAACATTTATTTGTTCTTTTAAACCAAATTTCGTAGGACCAAACTCAGTGGGTTTTACTATTTAGCAAGAAGACAAGTAATTCAATCAGTCTTGTTTTTTTTTTTTTTCAGTAAAATGTGTATAGGTTACAGTTCCTTTCACTCCTGTTAATAGTTAATCAAGTTAAACCTGTCAATAAATCTTGGAAAATATGTACATATTTATCATATCTTAACATGTTTTGACTGTACGAATCATTTGCATTTTGGAATTGTTTACAAAATTCTGTAAAATCACAGGGATCTTATTAAGCCTTTACTTTGCGTACATGAATAAAACATTATATAGGGTTGCACCTTAAATTAAGTTAGATGGAAAAAACCAACCCCCTTTGAATTTAAATGATTTCAGAAGTTACCTAGCCACATCCTCCTCTAGCTGTCTCTGTAGATACAGCTCCAACTGTGATGCCTCATCGGAGTTTGAGGGTTCGCTCGCCGGCAGCGGCTTAATACTCGAGCTCGCGCCCGGCATTAAGCATCTCTTACTGTTAAATAAGATATAATACTAACTAAACTACAATTTTCAATCATTTAAAATAAAGTTAAAGTCTAAAGTAGTACTTTTCTTCAATTTGCTTATTTATGCTCATGGTACTTAATTAACTTTCGTTTATTGCAAAGATAGCTGTGTCCCACCAAAAAATATATCCACAATAAAATATTTCGAATGCACTTCAATATAATAAAATGCTTTCCACCACCTATAAATTCGTTTCCATCTATTTTAAACATAAAGTAAACAAACACCATGATTTAGTGATGGCCAATTTTACTGACAAGTACAAATAAAAAAAATAACTGATTTGTTTAATTGAGTCATACTAGCGGTTGTCATTACATAACATATAAAAGCATGTTTAAAATTTCCGAAATCTTAATTTTAAATCCTCCTACATATACTTACACTTAGATACTTGTTTATTTGTGATTGAAATTTTTAGATTTACTAATCAATTACAAAAATTTTAATTGAATGAACTGAATGTTTTTTCCATACAGCACAGGATATTTTTTTATTAAAGATGTATGAAAAGTCTATGGTTGCATAAAGACTTTTCATACATCTTTAATAAAAAAATATCCTCACTCATTTTTCAAATACAATTTTACGATGTTATTCAAATGAATATTGTTGGAAAGTGATGAGATATTACGTCAAAATCTTTGAAATATACATGAAAGAGTTACTTATTTGATTGATAGAGTAAGTATTTCAGAAATTCAACCAAACTGATTTGTTTACATTTTGTTTAAAATGGATTGGAAAAAACTACCTACTACTAAACTACTTTTGCCATGTCAATTCTATATAAACTTTTAATAACACAATACTGTAATTATTGACTTGAATTCAGTAAAACAAATGTATATTATGCAAAGTATACATTAGGTATGCATTCATAGTAATATCCACTGGTTAGTAAAAAAAACAAAATGTAATTTACTATAACTCTCCTTAAATTAAACCTGTAAAGTTTAATGAAATGTTTGATGATTTCATTACTTTTAAATACTACGAAAAGGAATGGCTGTATGGTCTGATAGTAGCTAAGTATGTATGCCTCCTACATTGCTATTCAAATAATGCTCATTAAAATTCCTATGAGTACATACAGCCATTAGCAATCAGTGGAACCATTTGCAGTTACTGCTTGTTGTTATTCAGTTACACAATGACAAAAACATACCTTGCACATAAGAGACAAAATGGGGCCTGTCATGTATGATCTTATTGGCATAATAAATGGCAATGCTTCTTTATTATTACACTAGATAGCTTAATACTTTAATAAAAAATTAGAAATGCAAAACCCATAAATGAGATTAAATTTGTAAGGTACCTGAAATACTTTCCATATATGCCAGCAGATGTCTAAATTATGATATTAATGTTCTCGAAAACTATTTTCCGAGGAAAACGTACGCGCATCGCAACAAGTAAACAGTCTGCGTCTAGGGCGCAGATCAATAAATTTGTACCTAGGTATTATCCTGATGAATTTAACAGGCACCCACTGAACACTAAAAGATCAGTCTGAGCCATTACAATTTCATGTACACTAGCGACAATGTCACTTCGTATGCGGCGTTTTCGTTTTAACACAGTTATAGCTTTTCATGAACTACTTTAGGTAACTTCGTTTAAAACATGTAAAAATGTTTGTACTAACCGAACCTTTACATGCAATTGTAAGTTCAATTAAGTTACGAAGTTAATTACGACACAAAATGCAGAAACCTGTTAAATAGATATTTTTAACATAAAACCTTCTCACACAGACACTACATGTGTTAAATACATAACTAACTGTCACGCTGTCACACATCATCTCCATATTACGTTCAATACCATGTTTTGTGGCCAATAAAAAATCAGTATAGAGCTCAACATGCCGCTAGATAAACTAGATCTTTCAACTAAAGATCAAAAACTTACTTGATCGTCTTTAATCACTTCAGATATTGTCTACATGCTACCAAACCATAGCGGTCAACCTTCGTTCAATAAATTGTGAGAAATCAGTTTTGCGTAAAACTTAACGAAACAACGGTATTGATTTTTGCCAGTCCTTTATGAGAGAACAAAATGCAACACACAAGTCATAAATGCATTGAGAGCGCCATCTAGTAGTGGAAGTATTTTTGAATATCGTCGGCAAAATTCGAAAACCTCGTAATCTCCATTAACTTTTGACTACGCACAAAGAAACACAATGAATGGAAATAATTATACAGCAATCTATCAATATACATTTACTTTGCAACTTAAAACGGGTCTACAAATTATACGTATTTTAAACTTAGATTGCCCGATATCGTGATAGAAGAGTAAAAATGGAATTTCGTCTAAAAACGGAATTACAAGATTACAAGACTCGGTGTCTGACAGAGCAACAAGAGAGTATTATCTATACATATGTGTGTGTGTGTGTGTGTGTGTGTGTGTGTGTGTGTGTGTGTGTGTGTGTGTGTGTAAATACATATATATATGTATTATATACAATTTAACGAACGCAATTGCTTCATCATTTTTAAATGGAAAATTTAATTATTTCTAATTTACAGGTGAAAAACAATATACTATAAATGCTTGTCCTAACTTTATCAAAACAAAATTTACGACATCATGTTACTTCACGAATCAATAAAGTTTTAATCAAAAAACATTTGTGCATTTAACAACACCTTATCACATAGCCATAAAAACAGTATATCGTAATAAACAATATTATATTTGTGTATATTCTGAATGAAAAGTTGAGGATTTATCATATTATAAAGCATTGCAACTAAACGAAGAATCATGAATATAATAGAAACATGTCAAGTTATTCTAGAAGACGTAAATTTAATTTTACATCTTGTACCCACTTCCGTGCTCATACATTTATTGTATGGGAGTAACTATAGTTCATCTCAATATATTCTAGTAACAGTAACATTTTTCGTCTTTCGAGACAAACTAAGGCGTCTAACTGGCCATACAGCCAGACAAATCTTAGACTATACTTCTTTTCATGTTTTCTCGGGAAATCGTTATATCTATCTCAAAAGCAAAACAATTGGAAATCCAATTCATTGTAAATGAAATGTAAGCAAACAGGTAATTGACCCTACATTAAACAGTTTAGTGGTGGCCAATTGCTACCAGTTACAAATCAATTAATGATGATTTAGAATGATTCAATAAAATTAGAAATATGATTTATCTGTTGACCATGCAGAAATAATAACTTAAATTTATTTAAAAAGTTATAACACCGGGAGTACTTTATAATAATTCATCGTTACTTTGATAGGTCAATGGTCACAATAAAGACACGATTAATAAACTGATAAAATTATGCTTTTAAAATTGCCTTTTCTTGCTTTGCCAGGTGCCATCAAGATACCTTATTGGAAACTTCTGGCAAAGTTCTCGCCTTTCTATAAAGCTTCAACAGATGTCTGTACGGTTCAGAATTGTATAAAGGATGTAACGTCGGCAGTCTGACTCTGTTTTATATAATCTATCCCGTTCCCGAACGTTTGTAAGTTCTCCTTCTACCAACCAAAAGAAACGAATATCTATCAGTGACAAGACGAGACAGACAGATGGGTCATTGATTTTCGCGGTTAATGGGAATATAATTTGTGGAAAATATAATATGGCTCAAAGATTTTTTTTTCTATTCGTAAAAGAATATTCATAGTTTCATGTAAAGAGTATAAAGATCACTACTGTAGTGAAAAAATGTCGCCTTTGTTTTCTTTCGATCTAATTTTTCTGTGCTCATAAAAGTAGATATGGTGAATATGGACACATCGACGGAAAATTGGGATCCAGGTATGCTGAATTTTAATTGTTGAATGTTTAATTTAATTTTATCGTTACATATTGGGAAATAATTGCTTTTTGTAGCTCTCACTCGGTTACTAGCTTCTTTGAAAGAAGTGCAGCCTAGTGGCGAAGATGTGGCATTCCTGAGTGAACTCTTGCAGTCTAAACAACTTCACGCTCTTGTGCAAGTTCACAACAAAATCGTAGCTAAAGGAAAAGACGACAAATTCTATCCATTGCTGTCAAATGCGATGCAAGTGACCCTCGAGGTTTTAGAACTACTTGCAGACGTAGCTTCTGTATCTAAAGAGTACGAGGAACTGCTAAAGTTGCTGCAGAAACCACATTTCCAAGTAAGTACTTAATATAAATTGATTTTCATATGGAGTGTTAAGGGGGATTTTAGCTTTCATAAATTAAAAACCACTCCCAATCGTAGTGTTACTATTAGGAAGCTTATAAAATTGCTATAGAGAAATAAGCACAGAAGTCTCAGAATACTGTTACAGTGAAACAAATTCATCAAAATATTGTATACACTTAAAACTGCTAAATATTACAAACTATAGGAAATGAAACTATTTTTTCGGATTTAAATCGCGTATATTTGTTTTTTCAAGAACTCGATATTACAAACTATTTTGTTGAAAATAATGAAATCATAGTATTGCTTGATATTGGTACCTTTGAAAGTAAATAAATTCCCATTGTTCAATTATTTTTTTTACATTTTAGGAAATTCACTGAGTAATTACACAGCACTATAATTAAATGTGAGTGGTGCCCAAGCAGTTTTGTTGTGACCATTAAAACTCTGCACCCTAATAGTAACTCAGCCAGGGTTGTTGCTGATGCAGGTGTTTTACCCTTGACATCAGTGGATGCTAATGTATATGAGGATTTTGTGTATTTAAAAATAAAAAAGGTCAATAATATACATCCTTACTAAATTTGTCTACATGCAAAAGCTTTCTATTTTCTTTGGTCTTGTAATAATAATATTGTTTCAATGATTTTATGACATTTATTAATTAAAAGAATCAGTTTGTCAAGCTTAATCGTAGTGGAATTTTATTATATTTTAAAAACAACTGCTGAAGTGCTATTTGACTTGTAGTCTGTTTCTGGAATGTTTGTATATTATACCAGCATATGTTTTACGCCAAGTTACAACTCAAACTTCCCCAATGAATATCAGCATCAATCATTGCAGAGACTGATGCGGATGCAGATATAGTAATTTTTGCAGATTATCTATGGATGCAGATGCTTATATTCACAACAACCTTGAATTCAACTATAATTTCATATTTTATGCTTTTTTTATATCTAAATATAGTGAATGTATCTTTTATGGCATACTTCTTAGCTGACACTACATTAGGTCGTCATCATGCGGAATTGCCATATAGTAGTATGTTTGTCTACACCTAAACCAAACAATTCCAAGACAAAGATCAGGAAATCTGCTAAATAGTCTAGTTAATAGTAAAAAATTTTTTAGCAACAAGTTGCAATAGTTTTTTGAAGTTTCTTTGAAGGGTTTTTATATGGTAGATAAATATAGACATTTCATACAACATTAATTCTCCGTCTCCTTATTAGTTTTATAGTCTAGCCAATAAAGTTAGGAAACAATATTTATCAATCAAAAGCATTAAAAAAGGTTTAATTTTTTTATAAGACATGATCATTATGTATAACAGAAACATGGGAGTGAATGTAAATGGTACAGGGTCAACTGCATGTCAAGTTTGTAACGTAAGGTTTAAATTGTTCTGTATGCCGCTTGCAATAAGAGTGACCCAAAGTGTCAAGCATATCAGGTGCTTGTACATTGTACCCTGTAAGTCTTGATGATGTTTTGTCTTGATCTTTGGGTCTCTTGATTGAGCTACTGATGCATTTATTTTTTTTTGGTAGATGCTGGGATTCTAGAGACGCTGAATCAAAACTGAAACAAAAAAGCGATACATTGTCATCTGGAATACATATTTTTCAGTGACTATTTGTGAAATTTTTAATAAACTATGTTGACTTTGTACATAGTATAAATATGAATATTTGTGACATTATTACTCATAATAATAACAAAAATGTTAATATGTTTGATATGGCACATATTATTAGTTGGTTCTTGAACCTGGGTCCTTGACCCTAGGCATCTGTGCCATTATTGGAGAATATTTACCGCCTCCCATTTGAAAATTTAAAATTGGTGTTTTAGGATAAAATAGATCAAAGATAACAATATGATAATTTATTTCTTTTCAAGTTTTGATTTACTGCAATAGTGACAGGAGTTTTCTTTTAAGCATAGCAATGCCTGTGTGAAATAATGGTTGGTAACAGTCTAGTTAATGTTTATCTTCACGACCTGATGTTGTTTTTGTGTGTAAACTGTAGCAATTACTCTAGATCTCCAGGTCCATGAACTTCTAAATTAAAAGTAAGACCTAAGAAAATAGTACATTATGATCTGTTACAGTGTTCCATGCATCTTTCATGCGACAAAATGTATAAATAATATGATTCATGAAGATGATTTTAAAAACTTTAACAGTTGGGAAACCATAAGCAATTTGAATTGTTTATAATTTTATTTATAAAACTTCATACTTGCATAAAATTTTTTGTCTTTTACTCTTACATAATTAGTAATGAATATTTTTAACCTACTTCAAAAAAGGAGGAATTTCTTCAAATCTAAATAAATAGACAATTTGGATGTCTGTGGGCTCAGCTGTTGTTTATAACCTACTTCAAAAAAGGAGGAGGTTCTCAGCTCAGACACAGAAATCAAAATAAATAGAGAATTTGGATTTCTGTGGGCTCAGCTGTTGTTTTTAAGCGACTTCAACAAAGGAGGAGGTTCTCAATTTGACTGTTTTTTTAAATATCTTAAGCGATTACTCTTTTTGCTGGAAAGAGGGTATCCCAGTATTGGCCCCATTTAAATTTTAAGAAAGTATTCCACCTCTAAGGGAGGCAAACTTGGGGATAAATCCGGTTTCGCGCACTTTCCGGTAACCGACTTCAATAAAACTTGGCAAATATATGTAATTAAACGAACTCTTGAGGTCGGGTTTTTTAGTAGTTTGTACTGATATTATTCATTTTACCAATACTCATACATGGAATACAAAATTTTTTGTAAGATCAAGATACTGTGAATATGTTTATATGCTGCATGTTTTCCTTGTTTTTACTACACTTATATACACTATTATAATCATGATAAATGATTTACAATATAACATACAGATCTAAAAAAATAACACAAACTATTATTTGTATAAAATATATACCTTTCGTGTATGTAATGTTGTTTCCTTTTGAGGTGTTTGATTGAAATTTTTGTTCCAGGCTATTCTCTGTACACATGACGCAGTTGCTCAAAAAGACTACTACCCGCATCTTCCCGATGTTCCATCTGAAGCAGATAATGAAGAGGAGACAGTCAAAATTGTTCAACTAGTTAAAAGTGATGAACCTCTGGTATGTATTCTGTTTTAGATAGCTGAGGAAAGATATCCGTCTGTTAAATAAGCAGGCTATGTGATGTTAGGTGTGCTGTCTTATAATGAGTGGCCGTATAAGAGGTCAGTATACAACTTTAAGCTTAGGATGTTGAGACCATGTTTAGTTCCTTTTCGACACCTATGCGGCACACGCGTAGCGAATGAATGGAAATTTTATTTTTCATATTTAGCTTTAGTTTGTAGCACAGTCTAGTAAGACAAGTATGGTAACTCCATACAAAGGTAGCAGTGCGGTTTGTATGTACCCGCCGTGTACCGTGCACGGACGCACACATTCCCATAATTTCGCGATGTACTGGCGTTGCACAGCGACTGTCGTCTCACACGCCTTTCATTATTATGCGAATTTGTGCGTGTTCACTGCGTGCGGTGGGCGTGCCCATGTATAAGTTGCGCTGCTGCTTTTGAATGGAGTTACCATACTTGTCTTATTTTACTATGTTTGTAGTCTTCATTTTATTATTGTATCGAATTAAATATGCCATGTTGTCTGGAAGACACAGGTGATGCTACGGTGGTTTCTCGCTCTACTACAACATATAAGAGTTAAATATATAAAATCTGACCGTTTGTTTCTCTGTCAAGGATAAAAGCAGGGACCATAGCTACATAAGCGCTCCAAATTGCTATGCTCAATAATGGATGAAATTATTGGTTACTGTGGAGTAAATTTGATTTTTTAAACATAAAATGTTAATAATTTAAATTAAAAAACTAAAAAACACTAACGTAACTTATAGTTGCAGCCCTTTTTAGCGGTCTTTTTGAAGCACTATTACCTACATAATGCACTTATTTGATTTTATAAATTATTATTATAAATATTACTACAATAGACCAAAGCCTATTGCCCATTTTGCACCTCTAAATAACAATTCTTAGGGAAAATAAGAACTCTAGGCAAAACTCTTTTAGTTTAATCATTATTAATAAGTAAATGTAATGTAAATAAATATATTAATAAATAAAATTATTAATATGAACAATGGTGGCAACCATATTTTGTCGTAGAATGAATATCGAAATGGTCCCACACCCGTAATCTATTTGGAGAATAAAGGAAAAACCTGGGATGCAACATCTCACTTTTTTTCATTATTCCACAGACAATTTGAGTTTAAAGTTGTATAGCTCTAAATTGGCCAGAGCTGCCTATTAATTGTTATTTACGTAAGTTATAATTATGAACAATATTCATTTAGAAATAGCAGCTATGCTCTACATTAATGAAGTCTTATTACTGCTAAGTGTTGCTCAGGATGGACCAATCTCTCATTGGAAAATCTTTTCTCAGAATGGTTGTAGTTGATAGTTTAGGTTACACAAAATAATAGGAAGGGTATAATGAAGATGAAAATATATTTTTATCACAAGGGAGGAGCACAGAGTGCAGAACCAATAGTGGTAAGTAAGTCAATATGTTGATTCATTTTGCTAGATTTGTCATGTTTCAGTTGATATTATGTGCTGTATTCTCGTTCTTCATTTTGATAGCTCACTAGTTGATTTTCCAATGGTTAAAGAAAACAAGGTTTTGTAATTTGTTATTGAGAGTTCATAATAATTTACAAGAAAAATGTTATTTTGGGCAATGCTTTGTTTTCTTTGGCTTTGCACTCACCAACAGTCTTTTGTTAGTTGCCAGTCAGTTTCCTCTTGTCCGTCTTCGCCCAGCAGTCTACAATATTATAAAGTTGATTAGCTGCTATCTCTAGATGTAATGCAATTTATATTGTCTTGATTTGCCTCGTGACATTATCTACATTCCTTGTTTATGCCATTTTATTACATACGTACATATCCTGCACTGCACAGTATACACTGCTTTTGAGTTCCAATTCAGTTTAGTATTTTGGTTTATATGCAGTACCATACCCCATGTAAACAATAGTCATCGAAAAAGCTTGTTTTTAAATTTTATTTTACATCAATAAAATAATACGTAGAATGTTTAATTTACTGAAGTCTGTGCCGTGGAACTTTATGTTGGTTTCAATCATTTGACAAAGTTACACAAATATAAGTTGATATTGTTTTAAAAGACGTCCATTTACCAATTTTTTATATGATTAAAGAGCAAGCTTAATACACCAAAGATAATATATCTAAGCAGTCGATATTAAAGCAGTAAACCTTTTATCTCTATATCAAATAGGGTTTTAAATTATTATAAGAAAACATTACGAGGTCTTGTTGGATTTATTTATCACTTTGTAGTTTGTACATTAAGTGGTCGCAAATACTTTATTCAACCGTGTCGACCGACTTAATATATGTATATACATATATATATTCACTTAGTTATAAGACAAGTTTATCCAGCTACCTACATTAGCCAAATAACATATCTACAATGAAGACTTTTGTAATAAAAGTTTATTATCACAGGGTGCAACAATAAAAACAGATGAGGATACTGGAAAGATAGTTATAGCCCGTGTGATGCACGGTGGCGCGGCAGACCGGTCAGGCCTAATCCATGCTGGCGATGAGGTGATCGAGGTGAACGGCATCAGCGTCGAAAATAAAACTCCAGCGGACGTTCTTACTATATTGGTACTTTCATTTTTTTATCGGAATAGGCAGACCTTAGTTACCTAAACTTCCAGGAAGTAGTAATGCAAATAGAGTGGCTAATACCTCCCTTTGAAATGCCGAAATTATTGCGGTATATTTTGTCCTGCACTTATTTATGATATATAGTCATGGCGCCTGTTTTGCGTGTGGTGGGTGCCTACTCGTGCCACCCAAGCTCCTCCAGGAATCTCAACCTCCTCAATCTCCTCAGTTTTGTGAATACTTCGGGGAGCGACCTCGGTACTCCAAGATACTGCGCCCTGTAGTTGGGCACTCCGGAGCACTGTAGTAGGATGTGCGCAGCCGTTTCCTCCCCCTCCACGTACGCTCTTGCATAAAGGGCTATTTGTGATACAAAAATTGAATAGGTGTTTAGTGTTATGATGTGTAAATAGCAATTACTTTGGTACGGTAGAACATTTACAAGAAACAGTTTTATTTTTAATCATTGCGGGATTTCAGAGGGAGGTGTTGATAACTCTATGCGTATTACTCGAAGTTCTGCCTTTAATACATGTACGTGGGGTGCACTATAAGTTTCCGGAATTAATAAGAAAAAATACTATAAATGGTCAGAAATGAATTTATTGTTTCTCAAAATATTCTCCGTTAGCCTTAATGCACTTTTTCATACGAATGAACCAATTTTGAAAACATTTATGCCACTCCTCCGTGACAATCTCTGAAACATATTTTTCATACTCTTCGACAGCCTCTTCAGGTGATGAAAATTGTTGACCGCGTAACTGGTTCTTAATTTTTTTAAATTAATAAAAGTCACAAGATGCCAGGTGGAGACTGTACGCGGGATGGCTCATAAGGTCAACGTTATTCACCTTCAAAAATTTATTCGTCTATCTGGCCGTGTGAGAACTGACATTATCGTGGTGCAAGATGATACGGCGTTTACGGTTATTTTTATGGAGTTTGTCAATAACTTCCGGCAAACAAATGGTCGTGTACCAATCACTTTTCACGGTACAACGATTCTCCAAAGCAACAGTAGCCACGTGTCCAGTTTTATTAAAAAAACAAGCAATCATCCGCTTAGAGGTACTTTCCACGCGCGCCACTTTGTTTGGTTTCGGCTCATCTCGAAAGACCCATACGCTCGATTGCTGCTTTGTTTTGGGATCGTGACTATAAATCCATGTTTCATCGTCTGTTGCTATATCCCACACTAAATTTGACGCCCCTTCGTTGAATCTGGTAAGCATGGCATTGCACCAAGTGACGCGATCCGTTTTTTGAGCCTCAGTCAAATTGTGTGGGATCCACCGAGAGCACAGCTTTTTCACACCCAAATGTTTGTGTAGTATTGATTGTATTTGACTCATGCCTATGCCTAAAGATGCCCGAATCTCATGGTATGTTACTTACCCGTCTGTTTTGATCATACGGCGCACAGCAGCGATGTTTTTGTTGTTCACAGCAGTGGACGGGCGGCCATCACGAAATTCGTCGCTGAGATTCACACGAACATTTGAACTCTGCAAACCAGCTATAAATAGTCGTCTTGCATGGTGCTTCATCGCCAAAAGCAGTTTGAAGCCGAGCAAAGCTCCGTTGAGCTGTTAAATTACACTTAAAGTCGTAGTAAATCATATTACGAAAATTTTTACGAGTTAAATCTATGCTGATGTAGACAACCAATTTCTATAATGACGCCACAATGTAAAAACATGTGACAGTCAGATGAAACAAAATGTATTCTACAGCCAAAGAGTTCCATTTTCAAATATTCTAATTACTTTTTAAATATTGTTTATGTAAGTGGCCAGTTCCGGAAACTTATAATGCGCCCTGTGTATCACAGTTGTTAATTACTTCACTTACAAATTCTATTTACAGCAAAATTCGGAAGGCACCATTACTTTTAAATTGGTGCCGTCGTACTGCAAGGGAGGCTCGAGGGAAAGCAAAGTCAGAGTTCGAGCCCTATTTGACTATGATTCTTCTGAAGACCCATATATACCTTGCAAAGAAGCAGGATTAAACTTTAAGAAGGGTGATGTGTTGCACATCGTCTCACAGGATGATGCTTATTGGTAAATACTCTTAAGTCAATATGTACATTTGCGTGCATAAAGTACACAAACATTTTCCTTGAAGTAATAATTACGTGGCGGTGTAATAATTTCTGAAATATATCTCGATTTCTATTGAAATTTTTATTAAAATTTAGTTTATTAGCGTAATGACCATGGTGGGCGCTATATATTTTTTTAATTTAGGAAACAAACGCGTTTAAATTGGTCCTAGTCGAGGTAGTGCCTCGAAGACAAAGTCGTGCCTTTGGTATACATATAACAGGCTTTCTTTTTTAAATTATAAAATAGAAGTGCTCATTTGACCTCCATTTCATGAGCATGCACACCTTAATAATGCCTTCTCTGGGTTCCTACTTTGAGACCAGGCTACTGTAGTGGTTGTGTGGTATATTAATTTTGTGTTATATGTGAAAGTACGTGTATTGTTTTATGTGTATTTAGGAATGTGTGTGATTGTACCAGGTTCTGTTTTATTATTATTAGTGTTGCAACAATCAGTACATTGGGCCTCTGGCCTAATATTAGTCTGGCTAGGGGAGTGGCCGAATAGCTTACGAAAATTGTCACGACAAAAACCATTTATTAATTCCTGTTACGATAAATGATTATGTACGATGAAAGAAAAAGATACTTTAATTTGCAAGTTTGTAATTTAATTTTATTAGTTAATGAAGACTTAAGTAATAGTCTATTTAAGTTAGATTAACTTTCGGTTTGATTTATTTTTTTTAACTTTTGATATTGTTTAGTGCATATTGATTAGTCATGAGTAAACTTCATAATAAGTAGATAATAGTAATTACCATTTTTGATATGTTACCTTTTTTGAACGTCTAGAAAAATAACTTTGTCACATGTCCTTTGAGCGTTACAATGTGTGGTTCATAATTTATTGTGTTTATTTATTTATTTATTTATTTGTTCGTCCTATTTTTCTCATGGCTTTTGGCGGTTAGCGTTACATCCACTTACCCTCCTGATTTTAAGTATTCGGCCAAATAGTGATTCAATACTCGCTATTCGGCCGAATGGTAAAAACAGGCTAAATAAACCGAATAGTAATCGAATATTCATTGCAACTCTGTTTACTAAAAACTTATTCAATGTTACATGATATTTGTATTGTTTTAGGTGGCAAGCTCGGAGGGAAGGTGATAGAGTTATGAGAGCTGGGTTAATACCTTCGCGGGCATTGCAAGAAGGTCGCATAATACACGAGAGGCAGACTGATCCGCAGACTATGGACGGTCAGTATACGCTAATAATGGATCTTTATTGTGATATGTACAATGTTCAATTTGAAATGAAGTGATTTTTAATAATTGTTATGTATGTATCCTCCTCAACACCATCGCACACCATAGAAACGTTACTGTTAAGTTGCGTAACTTTGAATTTCCCTGTAACTTTGAATAAAACTGGTTTGAAGATCCTTTTTTCCTAAAAAAGCTTGTACTCAAAATACATCGATAACTGTGTGAAACTTGAAGTCAATATTCTAGATGCTAGATGTGCCATAAGATTGACAGTTATCATAGAAGTTTTGAAAGTTACCCCGTTTTCCGTTCGTGGTGTTCAACGAATGAAAAGTGCTTCAGTTACTTTTTGTACCTGTTGGTAGCTGCTAAATGGTAAATGGTATCATCAAGTGAATGGTACATTCTTTTCTGTTACAACTTTATCTAGTTTGACAGATCTATGTTTTTTTCATTCCAAATACGAGTATAATCTTACCCAAGTCAGTCAATGAAGAAGAATTTTCGCTGTCGAAAATTACAAAGTTACTTAAAAGTCAGGGTAACCCTGAATATTGCCTTAGTGCAATTTTCTCAAACAGGTTTCTTCTAATTCGTCAATTACGTTAAATTATTCTAAATTTGGGTATGAAAGGACGCTCATTAATCAATAAAACCTATTTCGACCAATAAATTTTTATTTTTATATCTAAAAACTAAAAATAGTGTCAAAAGTCAACAACGAAAAAAATGACAAAAAAATGAAAACGATCACAAATAATTTGCATAATTGAACACTACGCGAACTTAATTTTTGGACTTGTTCTGTTTTTGTTTCTCTTTTTTTCACAAAATTTGTTTTTGTTTTTTTTTCCACAAAATTCGTCGAGCATAATATTGGTAAATAAATATGGCTATATACAAAAATGTTGGAGGTATCTTTTTTATTATGCGCCTGATGGTAAGCAACACGGCTGTCCATTTAATTTGTGCAGGGAAGCCGGCGCTTTGCAGCCCCTCAGCAGCCAACTCCGATTGTGCTCCGAAAACGCCTTGCTCACCAGCACCTACGGCCACTGCGCTCCTTCCTTGCAAGTCCACACCTAAAGTGAAGAAAGTCATATACGACATTACGGAGAACGATGATTTTGACCGTGAAATGATTCCGACGTATGAAGAGGTCGCCCGTTTGTATCCCCGGCCGGGCCTGGTGAGACCCATAGTGCTTGTGGGCGCCCCTGGCGTGGGCAGAAACGAATTGCGACGCAGGCTCATTGCCACGGACCCTGAGAAATATGTTACGCCAGTACCATGTAAGGCACTTCTCGTAAAGTCACTTTTATTTTTACCTAATGGCGAATTGTTCGATTCCATATAATGCAACAGTAAAAATAAATTTCAGTCACGTCTCGACCACAAAAACCAAGCGAACAAAACGGCAGAGATTATGTATTTGTCACTCGAGAGAAGATGGAACAGGACATAGCAGATGGGAAATTCATAGAGCACGGCGAATATAAGGGCAATTTGTACGGAACTTCGGCGGACAGCGTCGAGGCTATAATTAACGCAGGTATTATATACATTCACTCTTGAACGGTCGTCTTAAGTCAAAATTGCCGGAGTTACCGCGTAACATACGTCCAAAAAAATATAGACTCGAATTGAGAACCTCCTTTGTTGAAGTCGGTTAAAAATAAAACAACATTTCAGTTCCCTATAATACAAGCGACACATTAACCCATAATACAGTAATGTGGACAAAAAGGATGAAGACCCAGCGTTGTCTTATTGTCTTCACCTATAGCCATTTGCATGCTGAAACTATGCTATATCCAATCGTATGCTAAACCCCCATTGATTTTACTTAAATAGGGGTTGTTTGGTTTTAACTTTATGTAATTGTAAAGATTAAAAAAATAGTAGTTTATGTGTGTTACACGAGTGTTTTAATGCCTAATTATGTACAGTTACATATCTTTATACTGGTCGTAATTTGCGGTTTTCGAACACATCATAGAGTGTTTAGGATATGTGTGTAGATAAAAAAAAATAAATTTATTTATTTAGTGTTGCTTGGAGTTTTAATCAAGATACATTGAGTTTAATAGCAAACACAAGCAAGCACTGTTCTTGTTTAAAACGCGACCTTATTGAATCACATGCGAATGTAATAATGTGTTTAGGTGGAGTGTGTGTGCTAAGCCCGCACTGGCAGGCGCTGAAGATGGTGCGTACGGCCCGTATGAGGCCATACATAGTGTTCATTCGTCCGCCACCGCTCGACAGGCTTATCGAAACCCGGGTCGCGGCCAACGCGCGGTCCACCTTCGACAAAGAGTGCTCCAGAGCTTTCACGGTGAGACGATGACGCCATAACAAACTTTTAAGAGTCGATATAACCTCAAATATCTTTTGGTTGATTCCGCATACCAGTAAAAGTGATGGAAAAAATAGTAGATTGTACGACAAGTGCATAAAACGCGTCATTTTACCCTAGACTAGACTAGACGAGACTAGTATATACTACTACATATACATATAGGTGGTATATTTTAGTCGAGGGTAAAATTGGTTTTATGAACCAGTTATACACTCTGCTTTTCATTTCGATTGCGAGGAAATTAAACAACAATATTACAAATAAACGATTATTTAATTAAAATTGAATGTACAATTACAACAATTAGCATTGACTTTTAAGTCAATGACAATTAGACATATTTAATGTGATGGTTTTTTGTTTTATGCACTAGAGCATAAAATCCTATTGTATGCAGCCTACACCCAACAAAAATACAAACTTTAAGTGCATGAGAAGTGAAAAATATTTTTTTTTAAATTTATTTTATATTTGTATATATTTCATTTACTATAGTATAGTAAAATTGAGGATATACACTGATTAGTATATACGGTGTAAACACACGATTCCTAAAAATTTTCTCGATAGAAAAAAAACACAAACTTACCTCCAAATTGTACAAGAAAACCGCTGCATTCAGTAGGTACTTTACATATACCAATTATTTTTTTTTTAAATACCAACTGAACTAATTAGAAAACGTGCAGTAGACGATATACATTTTTTAAATGGCTTTAATTTCGTTTGTAAGAAATATAATACCAGTGTCCCTGCTCCTCCTAAAAAATTTAATTCGAGTTGAGGTAGTATCAACTCTTAACACTAGATGCTAATGCTATGCTAACTGCCAACATCATTTTAATATTAACAGTAAAGTTGTATTCCGATTCCTGTAGAACACACACTTTATGTATTCAGCTATTTACATTTAGAAATGTGTGCTGATAATTAAAAGCGTCGCTTTTGTGGTGTTAAAAAACATTGTATAAATAAAGCTTTCAACTACTATGAAATTTGGTAGTCCACAACCATCGAGTATATAACCAGAAATAGAGACGAAATAAGGGCATTTGCCTGAAAAGTTGCCCTTATAACACTTTTAAATATCAACTCTCAAATCAGAAATCAGAAAGCTGAAATAGTGCAGCGCCAACAACTGACCTGTGTGTAGGTTTCCGTATATTCCAAAAATATTCTGTATTTATTGTAATAAAGATGTCTAACTATGGGGCGCTGTTCCATTCGGTGGTGTGGGAAAAGCAGCAAAACATCTAATTACAAAACAAACGGAATCACATTTCATAGGTAATTACATATTAAATATGTAATTTTTCTACTATCGTCCATTATACCAAAGCTCAAGTTAAACTGGTTGATTTGAAGTGAAACAATTTACGGCACCCGTCAATTGTGTCGAATTCGGGCTGACCAATCGTAGCGCAGTTGTCACCGTAATGAGTTGGCAGAATACTTTCAAACAAATTAAATGACATTTCGTCTCTATTTCTGGTTATATGCTCGATGTCCACAACATTCATGCGCCATCTAACGGGAGAAATTGTCAGTGTGCCTTCCTATCTTTATCTACTTTGAATAGGACGTACGTAGACAGGAAAGTAATAAATTTTAATTGTGCGGAAATGTTGTAATAGTGAAATAAATAACAAACAAGCAGATATTTCACCACGCCGATTTTACATCGGTCTAATTCATCGGAGGCGGCCGCGCGGCGCACTTGTCTAATATATGCAATGACTACGAACCTGATATTGACTCTCTGTTTTAAGTTTCGAGAAACATTCACACATTCTGTCTCTTGCAGGAAGAAGAGTTTAACGATATAATTCGGTCGTCGAACCGTATAAACTTTCTGTACGGCTACATGTTCGACGAGGAGATCGTCAACGAGGAGTTGGCATCCGCACTCACGCAGCTGCTCAAGGCGGCGTGGCGGGTCCAATCAGAGCCCCTCTGGGTACCCGCCTCCTGGGTGCAGTAGCCACGTTCCCTCACTTTATTTACCTATCTAGTCATAAAATTGTCTTATTGATCTCGCGTTACTAGTTAATGTACAGGGTGGCCAACTTTGAGATACACGCACTATTGTTTATTATTATTATGTAAATAGTATTATTAAGTAATCATCCGTGAACTGGAAATTCCGGACGATGGCTGAGGCTTGCGGATACGTATTCCGATAGTAGACGAAGGACGGATTAGGCCCAACAACGCCCATCGACGGGGCGGCTCGGCAGAGGATTTTTAGGGTGCCTAGATATCTGGCGCCGCAAATGCACCTGCTTGCCTACGTGCATTAAGTAGTGCGATCTGTTCGCGTGCTGGTCGCGCGCCACATATACTAACATGTATTTAACTGCACACATGCAGCGCGTTCGCGGCGCAGTGATAATAGTCGTAGCTACAAAAACTAAACTGCGGCAGCCTTGGGGTTGCTTCTGCAGGCTTCGGGATGCCAAGTCTAACCATACGGGTATACGGGGCGAGGGGAGGCAGAGATCTGAAGAGAGGCCAGGTGCGAGCACGATTTTGCGACGGATTGCCAGCTGAAGGATTCTTCGGCATGCTTAACGACACCGCGACATAATTGCCGTCAGCGCGCTAGCATGCAGCGATGCCGAAGAATCCCCTATCTAGCAGTCCGGTTGTGGGTGCCGAACCTTAGATTCGCCATGGGCGTATTCGGATTGTTTTAGTTAAGTTGTTCAAATCGGGCACTTTAGAGAAACGTATACTTACTCATTGCTGTGGGACCTGGAATCAGGAGAATGAGAAAATAATGAAAAACAAGTTCCAAATTGTGCGAATATGTTGTATAGCGAGGATGGACAATTCGCAGATTCGTTATTCTCCAAAGCAAAACACAAGTACTGCTGAAAGGATTGTTTTTTTTTAATGTAAAATAGCACAGGCTTGGTCAAAATTCCACGAAATGTACGTTGTCTAAACATACCCATTCACTTAGGCTTGAATAGCGCCAATTTGTTGTTACATTTTTTTACGTTTGATTTAAAGTAAATAAAATTTTTGCTTGTGTCGTTATTTGGCCATTCTGTATATTATGTACATGTATTTTACACCGGCCTTGCCACGTTGAGGGCGTCAACACATTTTTACACGCCACTTCATCCCGAGGTAATGTGACGCGTAAGTGAATTTTTTCTAAATTCAAATGAAATACGAATTTTTAGAGCGCCTTGTAGAAGCGCTGCAGTGGCGCTGCAAATGTGCTTCTAAATATTGTATGAAATTAAGTAGTGACGTGACGGCAGCGTCTCTATAAATAAGCGTCTTAATTAGAAGGCAACTTTACACCATAAACATTATGTAATCCCCGACGCGACGAAGTGGAATACGTATTTTGTGCTACCCGATCCAAGTGGTTCAGCCACCTCGGCATGTGGCAGCGTGTATTGTTCAAAGTGTTTAACGGTAAATATGATTTATGATTTCGACAGACAAAGCTTTTGCCATTTTATATACAATATACAAGGTGTCCTTGACCGAGTGCTCTAAACAAAAGGTTGTAAATAGATTTGGTAAAAAGGGGTTCCTTTGTCATCGAGTCCGACACGCACGTGGTCGGTTATTGCGAAAATAATACAGGTTGTTCCAGTTGTTATGCGACTCGGAGGAAAACACTTTAAATATTGTAAGTAGAATGTTTTGATTCATGGAGACGTTATTATTACTTTTAAAAATAAGTAATACAGCATTAAAGATTTTTAAAAGTTGTTTACCCACACCTGGGTGTCGAATCGATCTTATGTATTTTTATGATAGCAATCGAATGGGCGAATTATAGGATTAATTCCCTTTAAGTAACGTAGAATTTTAAAGGAATACAATGAAATTTTACTTTTAAGTGTAGGAAAATGAATTATAATATAATACGTTTTACTGTTGATCAAATTGCTTGTTGTTTTTGTTAATTCTGTGTGTACACATTCACTAAAATATGTGTTACATTTTTAGGATAAAAAAATTGATAACAAAAATTTTAAAAAAGACTAGTTGATGGTAAATGATTATTTCTTTATGTAGCCACGTCAACAATGGGGCTCTCGGCCAAAGAGCGTCTCACGTCTGAACGTTTACAAAGAATGTTGATAAAATAAATAAGCATAGTTGCAAAATTGCATTAAAATGGGATTTTTTTTAAATAACTGTTCTTTTTTTAGACCACTCGTTCATAACATGTAACATATTATGTAAACCGAATATAACATTTCGATTAATCGATTTGATTTCAAACGAGCAAGTACGAAGTATAATATAAAGACACTAGAGATGGATTATTGTATATAAAATCAAGAATCGAGTCTAAAAGTAATTGAAATGTCATAGTGTAAAATTAAAGAGAGTAGGAAATGCGCAATTGTTTGATGAGTTAAACCGAGCAACAGGGCAGGCCCGACGGGGCTTCTAAGGTACAAGTCCAATATTTGTCATTTCTGTCGAGCCATATGGATATTGAGCTTTTCTCAAAGGATACGAGGAAATAATGAAGGTGGTAAATTGCGTAATAAATTTCAACGCAAATAGGCCCAAAATGCATTATATGAAACGGCATATACCGTACGCTTTTATTTGGCAACTATTTGATATTTTTAGCTGCATTAGGAGAAATGTCTTTGTTCACTCGTTAATTTTTTATTAAATACGCTTAGCGAAAAAAATCGTAACGGACAATAACGGTTTTTTATAGAAGTTAATTGGAAGCCTGAAAGAAATCTTTTTGCGTCTATTATTATTGAGAATAGTAAGATTATTTTTATTATGAATCCATTGTTTATATAATAAATCAATTATTTTTGTTAATAAATAAAAAAGTTTTTTCAACTAAATTTTACAAGAACAATCAACCATGACAAACCTGTATTCGTTAGTAAATTAAAACAAATGAAATACATTACAGTCGATTAATTTTGTATAGTCAAATTAGAACAAAACTAAAAAAGTAAAATGATCGACCAGACTTTTGAAAGAATGCAGCATTATTTTGGGGATATAACTAGTGTTGTGCTAAATGTGTCGTGTATGTTGGGCCGTGTTCTGCATAAACGTGTTAGCCCACAGAAAATCGTAAAAAGAGTTATGAATGCAGTCTTATATCTTGTAATATAAAGTTTAATATTCTTTTCAGTAATATATTTAAAAAAAACGTAGTAATTGTTAAATCAAACAATTGTTTTCACAAAATCTGTTACGTCTCATAGGCGAATTTCGCAAATATGTGTTATGTGTGGTTAAACCATAAATGCGAATTACAACACATATCTTTTAACGTGGTTTGAAACGATTTAGTTTAAGTACGTTTAACACATACAACTTTTATGAAAAATGTAAACACTTGAAATTTTGTCGATGATATGGACAGACTGGAAAATGATATAGATTCTGAAACTGAGGATTGGGCGATGAGAATAATCCTTTTACTGTTAAAATAAGAATTTGGTTAATGGCGCACTTTTCGGGATATTTATTGCCAAAACTGACGCTTAATTGGTTTCTTTCAATCTGAAAGAAAAGGAATGAAGGCGAATGTGACTAAGCCGAAGGTGATGGTTATTGAAAGGGATAAAAGTGGAAAAATGGGAAAAGATTGATAGCGACAGAGTACAAAAGGTGAAAGAATTTGTGTAGCTGGCTGGGTGGTATATATATATATTTTTATGTAAAGAAGGAGGCATGCAAGCAGACGAGCCACTTGATGGGAGCTGGTCATTGTCGCCCAAGGACATTTGCAACATCAGATGAGCTGCATAGGCATAGTTGCCAGCCTTTGAGAGCCCTGTAAATACGCTTTTTGAAGAATCCCATATCATAGCGCAAAGGCAATACTTCAGGAGGAAGATTATTCCACGTGTTGCAGGTTCGAAGAAGGAACGAACGAGATGCCAGGCATCTGTAAGATATGGGGATGGACTCTACTCCTTTGGCGGGAGATGTGATGGTGGAAACGAGACGGGTGTCGAAAAGTTCCTCAGAGTACTCCCCATTGTAAAGACAGTAAAACACGCACAGACAGCCAACGTCTGTCCATAGGCTCAGGGACTCCACACCGTCTGCGAGTTTGGGGTCATCGACAATACGAACAGCCCTATGTTGGATGGAGTGAAGTGGGTCAAGCTGGTATTTGGGAGCACCTGTCAAGAGATGCTAGCAATACTCCATATGGCGCCGTACTTATGTTTTATAAAACAAAAGTCACTGATCGGGTGAGACCTACTACTCCGAGAAGCTGGACTTCGTTCGTGATGTCGAGTCCAAGTATCTCAATACTCTTAGAGCCGGTAAGGACCAAAGGGTAAAGGTGCTCTGGAACTTTGGCGCTATTACAAATGGAGATTTTTTAGCGGTGAACGCGCACACTTGTTAAATTTGATAAGATTCTGTCGACCGCTTTCTGAGACCTGCTCGATTTTGGACACAAGTTGCAATCTGTTTTGTTCCACTTGCTGGTATATATTTGTGCGACCTGTATAATAGGTATATCACTGGTATTGTCATCCGTATAGCAATGAATGTTACTAATTAATAACACATATCATTGATATGCAGGATGAACAATGTTGGCGATAGTATAGATCCTTGCGGAACATCGGCGTTAATGAGCATGGTGTCCGAGCACAATCCGTCCACAGCGACTTTTGGAAGCCCGTAAAATGGTAGCTTCGATAGAAGTGCCTTGTGGCAGACCCGATCAAAAGCCTTAGCGATGTCTAAGCTCTCAGCCATTACTTCCCCCTTGCTCGCGGTGGCAGCTGCTCATTGGTGCGTGAGATACACAAGAAGATCGCCAGCACAACGACCGCTATTGAATGCGACCGAAGAAGAATTAAATTAAGGTAAATGCTGTTAGTATAAGATTGTATGTACTCTGTTAGTGCGTCTTCAACTTAGCGCTACAGTGCGCCACAATGACGCTGCAGCCGCGCCACTACGAAAAAGTAAGAAAGAGAGCGTCGTGTAGTGAAAGATTATGTGGTCGAATAGAAAGGATGGATGTTAGTAGATTCAGGGTCGTATTCAAGAACTCTACTCAAAGCTCAAGTCCCTGCCATTAGGGTCGTATTTCCAGTGCTTGAAATCATACTCAGATCCTGACTTGAGCATTGAGTAGGGTTCTGGAATACGACTCTTAAACGTGGGAAGAGGTAGACCCTCGACGCACATGTCTCGATCAAATCTCGTAAAAGTAAGGAATGTTACGTCAAGCAGGGAGGCTCCTTTCATGCACCCCCGATTGTTACTGGTCAAAGAAGAAGGGCTATTGATTATTGAAAACAAAACACGTTGACTGAATAAAACTACTTTTGGTTGGTTTAATACATGATCACTATGAAAATGTGATTTCTCAGTGTTTTGCAAGGATTAAGTGACACTTTATAGTACTTTTCCGTATTTAGCAAAAATGTATTAACCACGCTTGACACATAACAGTAATAATTTTATTATATATCAAATTTTGCATAAACCATTTTCATTTAATTACTAATCATAACGAGTTCTTAGGTTTTCGCGATTGTTACACAGAGGAAAATGAAACTATTTTTCCGGATTTAAATCGCGTATATTTGTTTTTTCAAACAAACCATAATCATAAGTTTGTTAACTTAAAAAAAAATAAAAAAATAAACTGATTGTAATGCTTACTTCATTATAAATCTTTGATATATAATTGTCTTGTGAACTTCATTAATTAAATGAGTAATGACAAATAGTTGCCAAAAATCTTTAATGCTCAATATCTCGAAACTATCATTTTGTGGGTTAACTCATTTATGCGGAACACGGCCCGTATATGAATGACTTTAATTACAGTGTAAAATGCCCTGCGTATGTGCAAGCATTTGATAATAATCTCACCAGACAGCTGTGCCCGTGGAGTCCAGGACGGAATACGCTTAAGTCTTGAAAAGGGTCATGTTTACTTTTATACAGGTGGTCTACAACATTAAGGTCAGATTCACTCTCGTGTCTACTTCCCCGGGGATGGGAAAACGTAATTAAATCGTGAAACTCCATCGCATTCACCGAAACGAGCAGGATAAAATGACTATAAACAGGCAACTTAAGGCGGCTCGCAGCGTCACTTTTTTGTGCTTTTGTATTGCCAAACATCTGTTAACAGCTGTGATCTCATTGGCGTACATAAAGAGACCAGATACTTCATGTGAAGCATAAAAACAGATGAAACAGAGTCCTGGGGAACTATGGTATCATTATTAGACCACTGAACCTGAAGCTCTCTCTCTCTCTCTCTCCGCTTAGGACGTATAAAAGTTGAAAAGGTCTTCAGAAA